AAAGTCTCATTTCCAAGTTACTGCTGTGGACAAAGCAGTACACAGCAAAGATATATTTGCTTTACACACTCTGTGTTGGTTTTGGCTGGGTTTCAGGTCTGACCTCTCTCTATATACCAGATGTTTGTGCCCTGTTGTGGTTGGTGCTGGACAGAAAACATTGCCAGACAAGCAGATCTTCTTTTTTCTCCTTTTTAAGGAGAAAATCCTTGAAAAAAAATTCTTATCCACGGCTCTGAACAGGACAGATTTAAGTCTACTGGTATCGATTTGATTAAGAAAACAACATTTTCCATTTTCTGTTGTTTCTTCTCTGTTGGGATATTCTCAAACACTAGGAAATTGCACAATCTGAATGACTGCTTAACTCCAGATTGCAACAACTTGCAATTGCAACAGCCTTTGGAGCGAGCTCATGCGTGACTGCTGAAACGGAATATTCACTGATAAAATATTTATGTGTTTAAAGAAGAGAGCCTACAATACATACCTTAAAGCCATGACTTACATTTCAATCTCATAAACAGATGACAAAAACCATAGGGTTTGTTTCGTTTCTCAGCACAGCAGAACCATATTCACCTCTCAGCTTTGGGCACAAAGTTTGTGGCAGAGAAATGGCATTTCAGGACTGATTTAATCTCTCTGTATTTCATAGTTACTTCCATGAGGCACACAGGGGACCTCAGCATTTCACAGTGGCAACAGGACTGAGTTGTGGACCTGCTCCTACAAATCTCCCAAGCCAGCAGCAGGTAAAGGTTTAGGAGCTGGAGCAGTCCCAGACCCAGCTAAAAGAAGGAAATGGGACCAGTGGGCCACATATTACCAGTCCTTTAATGGAAACTCCAGCAGAAGCTGGAACAGCTGGGATGAAAACTGATGCAACTCTCCCAGGAGGTCACTGGTCTCATTAGGTACATATTTAACAGGAATAAATTCCTGTGCTGAGCCAAACCACAGCATCAGAGGTGAAATCAAAGTCCCCAGGGGAACCCAGTGTCCTCTGAACACTACTTTAATCTCTTACCCACCTTTGGTATTGACATTCATTTCTCCATGAAAGGGTTTTTGTTTACTTGGGATAATGTGCCATTCTTCCTGGAGAGCTGGAATTTTAGCCAGGTGCAAGTCATAGCGAAGCTTTTCCAAATGTCCCATGCACTGCAGTGGGTGGCACAGGGAAAACTTCAGTTCCTGGGTGGAAAAGGACAAGCTGTGGTGCTGGCATTCACCAGCATGCTGACATCAGGGGAAAACTAGGGTACTGATCTTTGACCCAGCCTGCTGGGGGCTTGAGAGGGAGCACAGCAGCCAAAACACTGGTTTCCCCTTTCAAGTGTTCTCAGGGGAGCTAGTTTGGCATTATGTGTGTCCTGCAGTGGAATGTGCACCCGTTAGCATAATGCCTCCAGAATTAATCAGACAAACAGGACATGATTCTCCATGAGCAGGAAGTAAAGCCTCATTTCCTGTAAATCTGTGTCCTGTATTACTAGACTCCACTGCAAAAAAGAGCCCCTCCCCACAGCAAGCAGAGAGTGTGTGATGTGATGACATGCACACTAATGAGCAGGCTGAAAGGCAGCTGCCTCCGAGCAGGATGGCAGATGGCCACGCTCACAGGCTTCCTACCCCGGTCTTGCCTGACTCCACAGAACCTCTACCTACTGCATATCCCAAACATCCTCAGCAAGCCTGGAGCTGCAGATGTTGTCACACCAGAACAAGCTCTTGTTGGCTGGAGCCTGACCTGTTTCCAGGCTTTGTCTTTTCTGGGGTAACACAGGAATACATGCTGAGCTTAGAAAATGTGTAAATATTGAAACCAGAAGTGGGACTTGTTTGTAAGAGTGAAAGAGCTGGTAGGCCCTCACACAGGTTGTCTTCCTGCAGTTCCTCTAACATGGCAATGCAGAGAAGGCCATGGCCTCTTTCTCTCGGCCTAATTTCATGGTGCACATGCTGTGTGCTGGATTCAGAGAGACAAACTTCCCCAAGTCCTTGGTGCTGCTGGCTGCAGGCATCTTGCACTCCTCTGTCTCAGTCCCCTGTCTCCACTCTGTGTGTGCTGGCTCCTGTGCTCATGGAACTGATCCAGCTGAAAAGTCAAGAAGAAAGGAAAAAATATGGAGTCTGAGCTTGGATGAATCCATGGCTGATGGCATGGCCACTCGATAGCAAGTGTTTCCACAAGAGAAGGGGCTGCTTTGTCCTTGAGCAGCAGCTGATCTAGAAGCCAGCTATTGAAAAACATGTTCCATGAGCACTCCTGCCTCCCTCCAGCCCCATCTGCTTTGTCCTAACCCAGCAGTGCCCCTGCTCTGCTGTGGGGTGGTTTCAGCCAGGGCTGGGCTGGCTGGAAGCTCTGGGTGAGTTGTCAGCTAAATTAATTCCTGCCCCAGCAGCCTGGGTGGCTGTGTGTCACCAAGGGTGGTGAGAAGGACATCTGTGTCTTCCCTTAACACTACAATGGATTTGTGCCCAATTAAAATGACTATTAACTGTGGCCTTCATTAGTAGACTGACAATGGAAATTTTTAATCAAGTGTTTGGCTTGCAAAGAGGCGGAGGAGAGAAAGGATCACTTCTCCATTTACCACGGGTAAGTTACGAAAAAAAACCCCAACCTAAAAAAAAATTCCCCGTGAGTAATTTGAGTGCAATACAGCTGGATTTTAAAATTCATGATTTAGGCGTGGGAGGGAGAAAGCATATTTTAAATCCCTTGCTTTCTCCACCCAGCCAGATAAGTTTAGCAAGGATCAGGTTAAAGTGGTGACTCTTTTCCTTGTTAGCTTGAGTGTTTCTGCCAAAACTGGATTTTTATGTCCCACTTACAAAGGGGCTGGAGCAAGGGAAAGGTGGGGTAATGGAAGTGCTGACATCACTTCAGCACAGGGCAGCACTGCTAATGGTGCCCCCAGAGCTCACTTGGAAGCTCATACGTGGCTGAGCCTGACAGAAAGGCTCTTTGAAAATACTGCCCAAAAAATAAATGCAAAAAGCCCAACCTTCTTCACACTGAATGAGTGAAAAAATTGCTCCCAGCTTTATGGGAGTCCCAGGACATTGTCCAGGCCCTCCCCAGCAAGCACTGCCATGAGATAGGGTTAATTGCTTGAGGTGTAGTGGGAATTGTTGGGTGTGATTTAATAATAACACTCCACATCTGAAATAGGAGGGTGGAAAAACCAGCTAAGCTGGAATAGCACTGGCCTTGCTGGGAGTGGAGGCCAAGTAAGGTGCAAGGGTAAAGGTGTCTTATTTATGTCCTGTCCTTCTGCCCCAAGGAGAGCTGCTGGCCACCAAATGTCCCCCCAGCTCTACAGCCCACCCATCCAGGACTGTCCCAGGCTGCTGTGGTCCCACTCTTGGCTTCCTCACATATTTTCCTTGACTGTGATCCCTTTTGCTTGTGTGGAGTGCAAATCTCTTCCCAGGGAGGAGGAACAAAAGCTGTGCGCTTTAAGCCACCATGCTGTGGGCTTTGGGGAGTTTCTGGTGATGTTTCTGGAGGAGCTGCCTTTCTCTTTCCTCCTGTTGAAATGCACGTTGTGCCACAAACCACAGGGCAGAGCAAACCCACTGCCGGAGTGGGCAGCAACCACCCTGCTCCACACAGCACAGACCCAGGAGAGCTGGGCTATGGAAAAGAAACTGCTGTTTAACACCATGTCAAAGTGCTTCAGCTGGGGACACCACAATTTATCTGATTTTTCAGAAAAACAAGTCCAAAACAGAGTTTAAAGCAGTCAGCTGTTTGCAGGGGGGAGAACCGTGCAGAAATAAGGAAGTTTTCAGGGTTGCTGAAGCAGAAACATTCATTCAAACCACAGAATCTAAAGCGAAATTTAAGGGAGCCTGGGCCTTTCAACAAGAAACTGCTCTGTTCACATAATGAGTGTTTCAGCAGGGAGGTGACACTTTGTCAGCAGAAGTTGGAGCACTGGGAATGCAAGGGATGCTCAGGAGATGGGAGTACAGTGGGGCTATCACAAGAGCTAGGAAAATTAATTAAAAATGTGTAGTTCAAGCAAACTGCTATAGTTTGGAAAAGTGATGGGGTTACTTGAGAAGCAGGCTGTGAAGAGATGTTTTAAACCATATTAAGGTGAAGAGCTCCAACACAGGGTTGTGCTCAGAGAGGTCAGAGAGGTCCTGGCATGGTGCAGCACACTCTCTGCTTTGCCCTCCCTTTCTGTGGTAAATGTGTTTATTTAGTAGTGGCCAGTGCTGTGTTTAACCATTATGCTGTGACAACAGTGTTCACTGTGTGGAAACCCAGGTTGCATTAGCAAATTTAACAAAGCTGGAGCATCTTTGCACTCCCTCCCTTGTCTGTGTTGACTGAGAAGAAACTCCTTTTTTCTTCCTTTGTCTCAGAGCACAGCCTTGGAAATGCAGTAGAAAATTCCCTCGATTCCCTCCAGCCGAGCAGAGGCTGCCACTTGGGCAGGTCCATGCCTGACCACGGGTCCTCTACGCCTCTGTGCAAGGTGTCTTTATGTAACCCCAGCCTCCAACCAAGATTAGCTTTCACCGAAATGCAGGTTCGCAGCTATTCCAGGGAGGCTCTGCAGGAAGCCTTGTGTGCTGCTGAAGGGTTTTATTTCACTTCTCTGTACAGCTTGTAAAAAGCTTCTTGGAAACCAGATCTTTGCATTTTACTTTGAGTTCAGTTATCTGCCAAAAGCTGTTTCAAGTTACTCTTTCCAAACCATATTAAATTAATCCTTAGGTAAGAAGGAAACAGCAACAAGTACTGTGTATCTTTGTTGAGAACTCACCGCTTCTAATTATGTTTCCCTCTTAGAAGGTTTAATATCGAGGACTACAAAATGAGGTCAACCTCTACTAAATATAATGACTTTCCCTGCAGAGCATGCAATGAAAACAGCTTCACAACAAAGGTTTCTATTTAAGGGAAAGGAAGTTTCTATTACAAAGTAGTCCCCTAACTTGTTGCAGGGGCTTTGTTTTCATTTGCTGGCTACAACAGAGTGAAAAAATATTTTGGTTGAGGCTTTAACCAGTGCTTATCTGAAAAAAAAGGCAGGTTACTACATGAAGATAGGTAAGAACAAAAGTACTGTTGCTGCAGGAGCTGACCTGGAACCACTCTGGCATGCAACATCTGTGAACCTGAGCCACACCAGGGCCACCAAGAGCTGTGTGCAGTGAGGAAAAAGGTAAAAGCAAGAGCAGCAGGTCTGCGTTTCTCTTTTTGCTGCAGGCTGGACACAGTTCCCCATAGGTACCCCAAGAACAGTGCTCTGCTCCAGCAGGAGACAAAATGAAACTTGGATATAGGAGCTACTTTTGAAGACTGGGAAGAGCACCATTTGGTGCTGTGCATTTTTGCTGGGCAGCTCCTGTGTGCTCCGGGGCAGATCCTGCCCAACCAGTAAGTCTGCACATCTCTGATTTTCAGAGGTGCAGTGGCTTGAACTGGCTGTTTGGTGCTCCTGCAGCTATTTGTGGGGCTTTTTCGCTTGATATTAAAAGCTAGGTAAGCACAATGCTGTCTTATTAACTAAATTCTCTTTTTTTACACCAGAAATGGAGGTAAACAAGGCCATATATATATATATATACACATATATATATGTGTATATATATATATATATATAATATGTATATAACAAGGCCATATATATATATATACACATATATATATACATATATATATACATATATATATGTATAATTTTTTTAATTGTCCTGATAGCAGCTTAACCACTGCCAAAGTTTGCTCTTTCTTTAATGGTATTTTTATTTTTTTTTCTTCCTGCAGCCTTGCAGGCAGGACTGTGCCAGGCAGTTGTTAAAGGCCTGCGCCTGCCAAGCTCAGGAGGGTGATTTTGGCAGCATCCCGTAGGAACTGCCCTGCGCTAAGGCTGCCGTGTTCGAGCAGCATCGAGAGCACTTCGAGAACCGCAGCCCTCGGTGCTTCAGCTCCGGCTGCTCTGCTCCTCCATTCCCTCGCAGCTCAGCTCGCTGCTACACGCTCCTGATCCCCGCAGCCGGTTGGAATAGCACGAAAATGATGTTTCATGGTATTAATGAAATAAATGCAGTGCGGGGCCGCACTGCAGTCTCCTGGCAGGAAACACAGGCTGACCCTGCGGCGCGCTGGGAAGCGGGATGCGGATCAGCCCTCTCCGCCAGCGGCGGTGCTCGCCCTTTAAGAAAAAGCCTGCAGTAATTTTCCATTACCCTGCACGGTCTTGTCGACGTGGCAGGAATTGTTTGTGGAGGCTGGAGCATCGCGGGTGAGGCGCAAGCCCCAATCCGGCTGCGGTTGCCTGGCTACGCGCTCGGCATGCCGGCCGCACGCCAGGCTCCTGGGAAGCACCTTTGTTCCCGAGAAGGGATTTGAGTTGTGTTTTCATGCCGAAAGCTGGGGACAAATGCTGCTTTTTCTCAAGCAGCCTGGCAGAACCGGGCTTTCCAAACAACACGAGCCAGCCAAAATTCTCAGTAGTAATAACAGCGATACGTGTGGAGTCCATCTCTGGTGGTGGTTTCTCTTCCTTTGCACAAGGAAATATCTTTTAATGACTTTGTGATGTTTGTTTGCTGTTGCTCTGATCATAACAGTCACTTAATCAAGCCAGAAATACTGTCAGCAAAATCCTCCCCCGCTCTTGTTCTTTCCATCTAATAAACCAGATGGATCGCTGTTGTTCTGCAACTTGATAAGCGGGTTAATTTTTTTTATGTAAGCTCTGGAGTCCTGACAGGAGAATAGTCTGAAATGCCTAAAATATTTCAAAGGCTGCCCGCAGAATCTGCAGCAGCAGGAGGAGTGGGTCTGCGTGGTGTCCCTGCTTGCTGGGCTTTAGCTTTAAGTATGGCAGCAGCATCAGTGCAACAGGCGTGTCCATGATGTCTCGAGCATGGCTTCAGCTCCAGGATAGCTTATTTTATCTGTTTGAGGCTTGATACTTGTCATTAATAAAAGTTCTGTGTTCTGCTAGCAGCCCATGCTGCCAAGGTCTCTCCCAGCATCAGCAGACAAACTACACTGGTAGCTGTCACACAAACAAGTGTGCCACCCCACAAGTCCCCTCACTTAGGTAATGCTGCCACTTCCCTTCTGCAGCAGCTCTAGGAACCCTCAGGAACAGCAGAAAGAATGAATTATGATGACTTTGGGGTTTCTGTATACTACTGGAAACCTCAGAACTGGAAAATTTGATATAAAGTAGAACACAGTGAGCATCAGCCTTAATTCTGCTTCATGGAGTATGCAGCCAAAGGGGAATTTTGTGCTGGCATTCTGGCATCCTGCATTGCACAGATGAACCTCACCCAACAGAGCCCTGGCACAGCTACACAGGGGACCACCTACCCACTTCTTGGGGAGCTCCACTTGGATTGTGGCTCTGAGGCATCTCTCCTGGACACAGGCATAGCTTGCCCTGCACCCTGTCACCCTGACACCTGTGTCTCCTAACCACACCTCTCTGAGGTTTACAGTTAAGAGATGTTTCCTGCAGTTTTCTCTTACAAATTAGCATTCTTCATGTTCTATGGTTTCTGGGCTCCTTTTTGGTCCTGTTTCCTCGCACCCAGCCTTTCCACCACCTCCTCCTCATCCCTGCTGCTGAGGGCTATGTTGCTACCACCCAGCAAAGCTCTGTTGATGCCCCGACCATCTGGGGACCTGCACAGCGTTCCCCACCTCCAGGAGAGCCATGCAGGAAGGGTGGAGCAGGGCATGTTTAGCAGTCTGGCTACACGCCATCCGTCATCTGGAAGATGCTTGTCCTCCATCAGTGAAGTGTGCCTTGTCTGATGGAAACAGCTGAGCAGACTTTTGGGAGGGTGGGTTTCCACATCCCTAGGTCAAATTTTCCCATATGGGTAACTTGATGGTTAGAAACATCACCTTATCCACGTTACAGACTGCTTGGCTGTCTGCTCAGTGAGCTTTTTGACTTTTTTTATCTGTCCTTGGCTTGGTTTTTGTTTGTTGGTTTGGATTTTTTTTTTTTTTTTAAGTAAACTACTGCCTCTTAGTAAAACCTATCTAAGAAAAGATGGGTTTGGCTCTTAAAAACTGGTTATTAGTAGTAGCCCTTTTCAGTGTGTTTTCAGAACTGAAAAGCAGTACTTGGGAACTCTTTATTTTTCCAAGGAGGCACATAAACACAGAGGTGTACAGAAGAGGGTCCCTTTCCAAAATACATCTGCCCTGTCCTGTGTCTGCTATCACACACCACCACAGCTGCCTTTGCTTGGGATGGCACAGGAAAACGTGGAGGATCCTAACTGCCAGAGGAGGGTTTGCCTCCCTTGTTTGTGCAGTTAGGAATGTGGGTGAGTCACTGCCTTCTTTGAAGAATGAAACCTTCCATCTCAAGCCCTTACGTCTTTATTTGCTTTTAGAACTGCAGTGCTGTTGGAGGTAACTCGAGCTCCTGTGGCTTCTCTGGAGCTCAGGTTTAACATCTGGTTTCCCGTTTTGTATTCCCTTCTTAAAAAGCACAGAGATGGGGCTACATCTTCCCACGTGTGGTCCAAAACCCATTGGATCCAGAAGACTTTAGGAGATCAGAGCAGGCAAAGCCCCAGCCGGTCCCCAGTGAGCAAGGCAGGTTTCCAGCACCACCAGTGCAGCCGGGTGTGGCTCTTGAACAGCAACGTCCCTAATTAAAAGAGGCAATTTCCATCGACAAAATCAGAACAGTCCTTGAGGTCATTTTGTTTCAGGAAGGCAAGAAAAGCAGAGAAAGAAAAAATGTGCTAGAAAGACTCAAAACCCAGAGCAAAGTTTCCTAACTTTTTCTAGCTTTCAGCGATTTAAGCTTAGGGACCTGTGGCCATTTTGTGAATAAATTATCTGATTTCAAAGGTTTTTAAATGCCTTAAATGATATTCCTATTTTAGAAAATGAAGTCATTTCTTTATGGAGATGCTTAAGTATCAGTTTCAGTTCTTTCATGTTTTGCAGATTGAAAAAATATATAAAAGATTTCATACGTAACTGCCATTTTCTTCTACTGCAATTTGGCATCTAAACCTGATCTTTTTTCCATATATAATGGATGGTTTCATTCTTGGGTTTTTGTTGTTTGTTTTGATTTGGTTTTTTTTTTACACTCTAAGTCTGTAAATTATTCCCAAAAGCCCAGTATTTATATTTGTTCCATAGCAAGCATGTGACTGGTATGACTGCATAATTATATCAAAATGAGTTTGAGTTCCTTTTGTTGCAAAATGTTCCAGGGCTACAGATACGTTTTGAATGCGTAATAAGCTCCGGGTATTGAGATTACAAGAGAAACTATCTGCAAAATCCTACGGATTAAGGTCATGCATGAGATATTTAATTCTCCCTCCTGTGAGGTTTGATTGCAAGATAGTGTGCTCCCACTGACTTCTTAAAATGAGAAAGCTTGAAAAATTGACCAGATTCTGTCAAATTTGCTTCACTACTAGTGGAACTGGAGGTGTTGAAGAAAAGGGGAACTGTGAGGAAAGGAAAAAGGAGAGACCAGGAGGGTCAAAATCCCTGCTGCTTCACAGCTTGGAAGTGAGGAAAGACACCAAGATGACTTTTTTTTCCTGCCACAATTTGATCTACTGTAGAATTCACAATTTGAGAAGGGGCAGCTCTTCCCTCTGTTGCTGTGACTGCAGCAGTGTCTCAAGGCTGCACTTGGGACCATGGTTCTGTTGTGCCAGGCCAAAGGATGTGTCCTTGAGGGTAAAGGATGCAAAGTGTGGATGGGAGAATTGTGAGGAGCAGAATGGAGGTCGTGGGGGAGCACCTCAGTCCTATGGAAATTCAGTCATATCTTTTCCCCCCACCCCAAATGTACGTGTGTATGATCAGTCAATATACCACAGAGACCTGATGGAAGGTAAAAGTGGGTAAAACTCTCTGGGGGACAGCCAGTCCCCAAGATCATAGTCCTCCTCCACACCTACTAGGAGGTGGATTCAGTGAATTCTTTTTTTATAGACGTGGCTATTCCTCTGGGTTTTTTGTTCTTTTGTTTGTTTGTTGGGTTTTTTTTCCTCTCCATAAACTATTGAAAATCATCTGATGGGAATAATTTCCATGCAGACTCGTGTCCTTCATGCCGTCTGTAACTAGGGCATCGCTGCTGCCTCCCTGCCTGTCCCAAGGGACCTGGGTGGTGTTTGTGCAAACGCGATTGTGCTGGGGAAGGGGTGTAGAAATGCAGCTCTCAGCTTGGGATATAGTTAGTGAATGCAGCTGTGGGAGGCAGCAGGAACAAGAGAGCTTTTGTATTGCCTGTGCTCTGACAGCTCACATGCCAAAATAATCTGCTAGTTTCTTAGCCATATGTTTCCTCCCCCTGGTCCCCAATATTTTTAACTTGAATGTAAAGTTATACTTTAGTCACAATCCTTCCTTGAGTTTAAAAGTGAGATGTGTTACTGTGTCAGCCTTGGTACAGCAGTTCAGATGGGCAACCTGCAACTTTCACAGGCATTGGACATTCTCCATGACGACTAGGGAAATTTGACCACATCTTTTAGGGAAGGTAGTGATGTTCGAATATGCCTTTCACGTGCACTGCAGAGCTTGCCTGGGGTGGAAGCAGACCTGCAGCGCTGCTGCAACCTCTCCCAAGGAAGTAGAGTCTGCTTCTTGCCAGGGCTGCTGAGCTGGGGTGCAGAGCCTGCTTTTGGCACCCTGGGCACTTCACTGAGCTGTACAAACTCTGCTGGTCCTCCTGGCATCCCTGGGAGTCTGATCCAATATTCACTGGTACGTCATGGGATAAAAAAGGAGGACGAAAATAGGTTTACTGAGCCGCTGGGTCAAGCGGGAGCAGGTTACTGTTGCTATGTGTTAGGACTAATTTGTCTATGCTCTCTGGCAGTGTTCAGACTTGCCCCTAGAGAAAAAGATCATAGTTCAGAATTCCCTGTGCGTCTTCTTCCCTGGCTTGTTCAGTGGCACATAACAAGCCACGAGCTGACCTGACTCAGACTTTAAAGGTTTATAACAAATTATACTGAAGAATATAAGATTTTTTTATTATTTTTTTTTTTTTGGTCTTGTTCTGATACGGTTAAGGGGTTGAAGAAACAGGACTGGTGCAGGGTAGTGCTGTCTGGATGATGGAGACATCACATTCAGAGGGAGACACACTCTGCCACTGCTTTCCTAGAGCTTGTCCCACCTTAGGGTGTTTTTCCAGCCACAGCAGCACTGCTGGGACATGTTGCAGTGACACATCCGTTCTTTGGCAGAGCAGCACTCTGACCCTTCCCAGCTCACCATGGACAGCATGGATTTGCTGTCCCTATGGCAGGGACCCGATATTCGTATGGGAAATGCACCTCCTGTGGGTGGCTTTTATCGTTCCACCACAGGCTAGCACTGATCCTGAAACACACACAGCTTCTATTAAAACTGTGGTGTACGTGTGCAGGATATAGCTGTCCCACCTTTGCATGCTGTGATCTAAGGGAGTTTCAGTGGTCAATTTGTCTGTCGAAAGTATTTATTATTAAAGTAGAAGGAAAAATGCATCTATGAAAAAAATCTGTACGAACACGATGCCCTGGGAGCCCACACCGTCCTTTCAGTCTGGAATCCCGCGGACTGCGTGCCCGGGACCGGCTTTGTTTCCGCAGTTAAATGGTTAACTGGAGCACTAATTGGCTCTGAGCGCTGCAGCCCTTTGCAACAGATTATTGGCATGCTGGTA